TCTTTATTTTATTTTTTAATTTTTTTATACAGTTTGCACGCACTTTGACTATTTCACCTTTTACCTGATGCTTTCCACTCGTACAGATACCCGAGTAACTCTTTTTGCATTTAATTTACTCAATTTTTTGCTAGAAAGCTGCTTCATTTTGGTAGCTGGGTAGAGAAGCCAAAAAGAAAAGATAAAAATGCAAAGCAAAATACAAGAAAGGAAGAATATATTGACGTTTGGAATTCAATTTTAGTGTGGTTGGTCACATCAATCTAACTCATCTTGAGGTCCTTTCGAGAATGGCACAAGTATCTTTTGTGAAAAGTGGTGGTGGAATGTAATCATAAACTTACTATATTCCACTAGTTATGCTATATGTAAATATCAAAAGCCAATGGACAGGTAGGTCTGAGATGAGATGGGCCTGAGGAGTCTGACCCATTAGAATGGATCCAAAGAATAAGTTGGTTCTGGCCCAATTTAAGAAATCAATCTGGGTCAGACATTATATCTGGCAAAAGCTGGTAAATAGGTATCATATCTTGTGACAGACCACGGTTAATATATCCATTGAGTAACCAATTTTTTACATATGTGGTTATAGACCACGGTTAATATATCCATTGAGTAACCAATTTTTTACATATGTGGTTATATTAGGACATTTCCCCAACTTACTTGCGATTGAAGCGTAGTTGTTGGTCATAATAGAACACTCACATTTTTCTACTGCTTCTTTTCATCTTTTCTTGAGCCGACGGTTTATCGGAAGCAACTTCTCTATCCTTCAAAGTAGGGGTAAAGTTTAGGTACACACTACCCTCTCCAGATCTCACTTGTGGGAAATCACTGAATTTGTTGTTGTTGTTGAAGCGTTATGTATTAGACTGTAACTTTACAACTCTTCCTTTGGCCTTTGGTAAAATGTCAACTCAGATTAAGCAACACTAACATGTCAATATCATACATTAGTTTTGTATGGCTAGTGTTTACGTACGCAAACTCAGTGATCATGTGAATATTGAACATACCAAAATAATGAACTATCAACTATTTTTTTAAAATAAAAACAACCAACTAATGTATGATAGGATGTTTTTCAATTTGAGATTGTATTGATTTGATATGTTCTGGTATAAATTTGACGATAAGTAAAATAGACCAATTTTTAGGATAGAATAAGTGCAGGTTACATACAATACCCCTTGAAACTTTTATTTTCATACAGTATATTTTCTTTTTCTTTTCATGGCTCAAACTGGATGACTACAAGCTCAGATAGTCAACTTCACATTCAACACTTTCAGGACTACTTGAAGCTACTGATGGACAACCCTAAAGTGCGAGGTGACCATCCCACATCTTGCCCAAGCAAGCCGCTTGATGCGGAGAACGACAGTGATGAAGACGGAGATGAGGATGAGGGTGAAGATGAAGATGGAGATGAAGATGAAGACGGTGAAGGTGAGGAGGACATTAACCCCAACAACAATAAGAGTGCCTCCAAGAAAGGTCCGGAAGGAGGAGCAGGTGGTGCGGAAGAGAATGGTGAAGACGAAAACGACGATGGAGAAGATGAACCAGAAGGCGACAATGACGACGACGACGATGATGAAGATAACCCTGAGGATGATGATGAGGAAGATGAAGGCGAGGAGGAAGTTGTAGAAGAAGACGACGAGGAAGAGGAAGACGGGGAGGACGAGGAAGAAGAAGAAGGGGAGGATGAGGACGAGGAAGAAGAAGAACTTCAGCCACCAAAGAAGAGGAAGAAGTAAACTACCCATCACTATAACTCCAAACTCTCATAATGTGCGCAACTTTGTACCCTAACAGCTGCCTACACTGGCATATGAAGGTGTATTAGTGTGACACCTTCCTGTACTTTATTCTGTTTCTTACACCATTAGAGTACCTTAGAACTTCGAGTTATGGCATAAATGAAGCACTCTTAAGTTCATGATATTGGTGATTGACAAGCCAAGATGTTTCTGCATTATCTTCGAGATTTCAAGTTCATGAACTACATCCAAATCAATTACAGGAATAACCAAAAATTTTACACAATTTTTAGCCACCTCAGGCAACTTTCACTAAAAAGATAGGATTGTATGTGACAATATTGGGTTAAGTTAATGACAAGCACTGCTAAGTGCTAACCATTTGACATTTATAAGATACGCTAGGAGTAAAGAACAATTAACAATTAAGAATATTGAGTAAATTTAATTACAACCTTCTAACATTTGCCCCAACCAGTTAGATGTAAACTTAGCAAACTAGAGATAATAGAATTCATTATTGATTGGAAAGAGTCAAGCAATAGATTAATTTCATTAATAAAGAGGACTCGGTATACTTTATCAAACGTTCACGCTATAGGGGCAAAGACTCACCATAGAGTTGACATTCCAAGTTCTATTGATGATTAAGGCAGAATAGCATCATGAACACTTGTACTTGTTTGATTTTGACATTCCGTTCCTCATATTTCATAAAATTTCATCCAAACACTTATAATCGTTCAAAAGCGATATTTTAAACCCTTTTCACCTCATGTGTTCTTCAAACGCGTGACATGATGACACATTAATGCCCGCGTCAGATTTTCTATAACACATCATTAATAATTTATTTTTTATATTATTTAAAAAATTTAATCTGTCTTTTTTCCATTTCACCATCCTCTCCACCTTAATCATCCCTTATTCTCCACCATTCACCCGACCTTTACCACCACTTCAACACAGCCTACAATTAATAATGTTTCGATAATGAGTTCATCAAACTCTTTGCACTTAGCCACATTATTATGTACCAATTTAAGATTTTAATCAAATAACATATTCTTCATGGAAATTCTACTGTTCAAAATTTAGAATGGCAGCCGTATAACATCAAATGGTCCCGTCGATGACCAGTCTTCCACTCCCTTCTTTATTTTTCGAACCCAGCTCTTAAAATTTGCCACACCACTAAGGGAGGATTTAGGGGGCGCAAGGGTGTTCATCCGGCTCCCTTTGCTGAGAAATTATACTGTATATATAAGGCAAAATCTGATTTTTACCTCTATATATTATATTTTGAATCCCTACACACAGCCAAAAAGCATGACTTCGTGGTCAAGGAGATTCAAAACCATTATGGGTCATTGGTTCAAAGCTTCTATATATTTTTAACTTATTCCTTTTTTGAACCCCCTTCGCAGAAGACATTTCATCATAGCACTATCAATCGCTCATAAAAATTCTCAACGCACCAATAAAATCATCACCGAAAACTCCACCCAAAATTATCTGAGATTCCTCTAGGGAAAAACTTATCATAAAAGGATTCTGCTGGCAATCTCTTTCACTTTTTCTATTTCTTTTGCTTGCAAAAGGTCGTCTTTAGAAGTGAGGGAAGAAAATGAGGGAGGTGGGAAATAAATTTCTCACCAAAAATTGCTCAATCTGGGGATGTTATTTCTTGGTTTAAATATTTACCTTCACGCTCTTCAACTCAGCTATCAAGTTGCCACATAGACATAGTGAACGGTCACAACTAGTGTTTGGATGAAATTTTGTAGAGTAGAAGGACCGAAATGTCAAAATCGAATAAGTATAAGTATCTATCAAGCTATTCTGCCGATAATTAATATTACCGACTTTAGGAAGGATAACCTTATTTCTTCTTTTTTAGAATTATAATTTAACCGAACCAAGTAGTTTAAGTCAAAACCTTATATTTATCTTAAGAATTTATTAAATACATATAATTTATTAATTTAAAATTCAGTAAATTAAATTTGAACTCATAAACGTCAAATTTGGTTATGCTTTATGTTATTAATAAAATAAAAGATTTAAATAATATATACATTGTAATAGTCAATCTATTAAATAACTTTGCAATTGACATTATTGAAAGAGTATTTTGTCTACTTGGTTATAGTTTATTCAAAATTATTTTAAAGGAAAAGGGCCAAATATACCCCTTTATTTTGGTATATTATTTATATTTATCATCCGTTATACTATCGGATCATATTTACCCTTACCGTTAATCAAACTTTATAAAAATATCCTCCACCTAATGGAAAGCCATCAGATTAAAAAAAGACATGTTTTTAAAAATTCATTAATAACCTGTTAAACTTCTTTTATTTACTGCACTATTCTTCCTTACAAATTAGTCATCTCCTTAGTAGTCACTCATTGAACTCCAGAAATGAAAGACATAAAATTCACCGACAATCATATATTCAAAAACCCAAATTTTTACACAAATCTTTTAGCTATCTCAGATAACTTTCACTAAAAAACTTATACTCCCCCTGTTTCAGTTTATGTGAACCTATTTTCTTTTTGGTCCGTTCCAAAAAGAATGACCCCTTTCTAAATTTGGTAACAATTTAGCTTAAACTTACAATTCTACCCTTAATGAAAAGTTTTTATAATCACACAAATACTCTGAGTCCCTTTTTGACTTGTTTTGGACCACAAATTCTAAAATTCTTTATTTTTTTTAAACTTCGTGCCCAGTCAAACAGGTTCACATAAATTGGAATGGAGGAAATAGCTTGTTTGGCCAAGCTTCTAAATTAGGTTATTTTGAAAAGTGATTTTTTCAAAGTTACTTCCTAAAAAGATAATTTTGGTGAGAAAGTAATTTGTTTTAGGCTTATTAATTTAAAAAGTATTTTTAAGCAACAACTAATATGTGATAAAGTTTTTAAAAATTACCTTTTAAGTGTATTTGATCAAAATTGTTTTTCAAACTTAGCACACTAGAGATAATAGAATTCATTATCGGTTGGAAAGAGTCTTGGTATTCTTATCAAACGTTTACGCAGCAGGGACTTGGTATGAGGTCCAAACTTTATATTTATCTTAAAAAATTTATTATATATATATAAATTATTATTTTAAAATTTAATAAATTAAAAGCATTAAGATTCTGAACCTATAAATTCAAATTCTGGTTGCGCTGTTATTAATGAAATAAACGATTAAAATAATATAGACCGTGTAATTGGTTATAGGTATCTATTAGATACCTCTGCAATTGACTTTATTGTAAGAGAATTTTGTCTACTTGGTTATAGTTTATTCAACGTTATTTTAAAGACTTTGGGAATTGGGAGGACTTTTCTTTTTCTGTGTTCTGTTATAATTTCTTGATTCTTGATGATGATGAACTCAATTTATCTAAGCACAGTTTCTTTATCTATTTCTGTTGATAATTGGAGGGGAAAAGCAAAAAGGCAAAAGAAATGGCTCATTATTTGGATTCTTCTTCTTCTTTAGTCCCTCCTTTGATTGCTAAACCCAGCAAGGTTGATCTTGAAGCTGGTAACGTTGACCATATTCAATGCCGTATTTGTCTTGAAAGTGATGGTGAGTTTTTGATTGCCCCTTTTAAATTTACTTCAGGGTTTGTGAAAATCTTCAATTCTTGCTTGAAATATTTGTTGGTTTGTGTGTATTATTAGGATTTTTGTTTGATTTTAAGTGTAAAGGTAGTTTGGGACGGAAGTCCATTACTGAGAGAAGTGGTGATCTCGTCTTGCTTGCTGGGAGAGAGGAAGCTTCCGGACGATTGACTCGACAAATAAAGCACTGAATTGGCGAACTATTTCAGAATATAGACATGCCGAAAACGAAGAAGGCCAATTTGCTCTTGAATAGAGGCCGTTAAGGATGTACTTGCTTTTCCTTTTTTTTCGTCGAGATTGGGTTGGTGTTCAGTGTACCGCTTGTACATGGACCCCTTCCTTTCTGTTGTTGCCAGCGCTTTCCCGGGCCGAGCCGGAATTTTTTATTATAAAGGGCTTTGCCAGTGCACTAAAATCCTGCTATGCGCGGGTCTGGGGAAGTGCTGGACCGCAAGGTCTATTGTACGCAGCCTTACCCTACATTTCTGCAAGAAGCTGTTTCCACTGCTCGAACCGTTGACCTCCGGTTCACATGACAGTAATTTGTTACGCCAAGGCTTCCCTACCTAAGTGTAAAGGTAGTTTCTTTGGGGTTAATTAAGTGGATTCTGCATCTTTCAAATGTGGGTTCCCTTACTTTTGATAACCGTGATGTCTGGACCAGCTTGTACTTGACTGCTCGGCAAACTGTTGAGTACCTGTTATTTTCCACCAACATAGGTACTGACTAGTGAATAAACGGGTTTTTCCCTATTCAAGCTGAAAGCCAAATTGTTTTAACCCACGTGCAGTTACTGCATTACTAAGAGGCAACTGAATGAAAATTTACATGTGTGTGTTTGGGGGGGGGNTAGTTGCATTGTGTAATATATCAAACAGCTTTTATTCTCTTTGAAATAGTCAGATTGAACTCCGCATGACACACATATTCATAGGTCATAGCTTATTCCAAGTCTGGTTAAAGGAGGAGAGTTGCGGTAGGTTGAAGTTCATAAAGAATTAGTCGAACTATGATAAAAGTCCACCCTAACTGATATATTGATTTATCGATTGAAATTGTTCAGATCAAATGATTGAAGGGAAAAACATTTTGACAAAATGGAGTCGTTAGTTTGTTATCATTTCATGAATACTTCGTGTTGAATTCTTCTTTGGTTAATGTATGCAGATAATGTCTTTTGCTGAATGGTTCTTGTTGAGTTTTTCATTTGTTTATTATGTTCAAAGCATATTAGTATTTTTTTGGATAATGAATTTATCGATGCATGAGAAGCAAGATACTTATGATTGTTTTAACTTTTTCTTTTTTAGGCATGGATTTTATTGCACCGTGTAAGTGCAAGGGTACATCAAAGTATGTTCACCGAGAATGCCTTGATCAATGGCGTGCTGTGAAGGTATGTTTTCAGATCGTTTGTTCGTCTGAAGTTTTAGCCTAAGCTTTGCCATAACTTCGGACTTGTTAGACATGTATTGATTCTTTAAAAAGTATGATTAGGAATCAAATTTTTTTCATTTGTTCTACGTGCTTACTGAGTCCTGCACTAGACCAAGTATTCAATTAGTTATTGGCCTTTGCATCATTATAGGCAAAGGCAGCAACTGCCGGTGGATCACTTCGTAATAAAGACCCATAAGCTTTAATCATCAAAATTGAATATATGGTGTCCCCTAAAGCTTGTCTTCTTACAGGAAGGATTTGCATTTGCCCATTGTACGACTTGCGAGGCTCCCTTTTACTTGAGAGTTAACGATCTTCATAGAAAATGGCGAACCTTAAAATTTCGGTTCTTCGTGACGACAGACATTTTGGTCATCTTTCTCGCTGTTCAGCTTGTACGTGGGTTGCCCTTTTTACAGTTTTTTTCTTCATTTCAAGATATTTACTTAAACAGTACTGGGGAACAATATCTTCAATTGATCACTAACCTTCTGTTTTGCAGGTTATAGCTTCACTGGGATATTTGGTGTATGTGATTGATACACATCAGAAGTCATGGCTTCTTTTGCACTGGGGGTTTGACTGCGAACTATGCTTCTATTACATATGCGGTAAATCATATTCATTCGCACTAGTTATCAACATTTTTGTTTATATGTATGTCGAAGTGTTATTTTGTCTGCTTAATATTCTTTTTGTCCAACTGGATGACCAATCCAGATTGATGTACACAACGGCCACATGTTAGATACAGTTGTTACCTATCCATGTTAACATGTAACTTCGGTACCAATAGGCCCCAAAGACCTGATTTTCCTTGCTGGTTTTGAGATTCTATGTCTTATTTAGTCGCCTTGGTAAATGAGATTTGGTTGGGGAGTGATGGAAGAATATGGGATGAACATTATTTACTTAGTTATCTCATAGTTTTCACGTTGTAAGAGTGCAAAACCCTTGTATGGCTATTCTGTTGGAACTTCAGACAAATTCTAGAATAGGTGCTAGTATTTTGTCTAACTATCCAAGTATCCATTCCTTGGATTGCGTTAAAGCTATGTACCCCTATGGCTTAGGTTCAGTAATAAGGACGCAACACATAAAGTGTGGGTTGAGCGCATGTCACAAGTTCAAATCTGTTCACTGACAAAAACCTGGCATTTAACTGGGAGAATGATAGAGAGGCGGGCTGATATTCCACCGAGTTATGAACTTGTGAGTACAATTGCGGTTAGAGGAGCTAACTTAGGAATTTCTCGTTTATCAAAAAAGAAATAGAACCAACTGAAACAACAGAAATGAAATAGAAAACAGGAGGAACAATCATGATGAAAGAGGCATGAGCACTTGATGCATATATTTATTAAGATGCATATACTGCATCATCCAAAATTCTGAGTTTACTATTTTGAGTACATAGCGACTCTTAAATGATATAAGAGTTAATTTTATTGCTATTGGTTGGCTTTTGTGCAGGGGCACTGTTGTTTTTCGTATTGATGGGCATATCTGGTTGTTTCTTAACTTGCTTTGATGAAAGTGTGCACAATGATTTGGGTCAGCCCTGCCAGAATGCGTTGTCTTGTTGCTCTTGCGATGGGTACAAATAATTTGTTTTATGTTCTTTAGACTTCCATTATTCGCTTCCAGATCATAGTAACCTTAATACTGCACTGGGTACAAGTTGGTAACTGTTTGTTGACATCACAACGAAATAAAACACTAAAGAATCTTTTGATTGATTGTCTTTGCATCTTTAGTTTTTTAGTTTCTTTTCGATCTTTTGCATTAATATCTCTTACTGTAGTTGTAGGAGACTTGTTTTTTTTTTCTGTTTCTTTTTTTTCTTTTGGAATGCTACATTTGAGGAAAAAGAGTTTGGTCGATACTGTTTCCTTTTTCATATCATTGCAGAATGTGTGCAGACTGTCATACGCATCGTACAGGTACAACTTATATCTGCGTCGATTCTAACATATGCTCCGAAAATTGTTCGAATTCGACATGTGAATGTTGCTCCGAGAATCAATCTTGCACAGAATGTGAATGTGGGAATTGCTTTGGAGGTGAAGGTGAATCTGGGATACACACATTATTAATTATAGCTGTAATTGTGCTAGGAGTGTTAGCCATCTTAGGCATGTTTTACAGTGTTTTGGTTGCTACAATGGTTGGACAGAGAATTTGGCAGCGACGCTACCACATACTTGAGAAAAGAATACTAACAAAGGTAAGCTACATCCTTGTTTTTGTTTCTCTTTCGAAATGTTTGCCGTTGCCATATATATATATATATATATATATATATATATATATATATACACACACACACGCAGTGGCGAATCCAGAAATTTTCTCAAGGGTATTCAAAATACAAATTGTCAAACCTTTTTTATTCCGTTTATGGTTCCTATGTGGATTGAAGGTATTCCAATATTCTCTATAATTTCAACACACAATTAAGACAGACTTTGTTGGGCAACTTTCCTTTGAATGCTACTCCCTCCGTCCCAATTTATGTGACACTCTTTACTTTTTAGTCAGTTCCAAAAGAATGTCACATTTCCTTATTTAAAAATAAGTTATCTTTAGAATTCTTATTTTACCCTTAGATTTATAATGACACAAATATCTATGGTTTGTTTTAGACCACGAATTTCAAAAGTCTTTCTTTCTTAAACCCTGTACCGAGTCAAACACATCCACTTAAATTGGGCAGAGGGTGTAGTATTTTTGGCCATTTCCTCCCTATCATTGTCATCACCTAATGCCTAATGGAAACTTTAAGTAGAACTTCGTAACCAGGGGTTGAATGTTTTAGTTTTCGATACTGTTGGAAAATTAGTGGTATCTCATAAGGTTATGTCCATCATGGTTTGGAAATCATTTCTCTTTGAAATATTATTTACATCTACTTATTATTTAGTAAATTATTTTACATTTAACAGAGTCAAACTAGTCGTTATCTAGCCGTTAACTAGCCGTTATCTAGTCGTTGGAGCAACGCCAATATAAACATGGTCTTTGGAGAGTTAAAGACATACTTTCTAACCCAACCTTCTAAATCTTCTTCTTCCTCCTATACGCTGGGTTTCTTTGTAGAATTTTCTGCTAGTTTTGTTCCTAGTTTTACAACTGGAAGAGCTTGTTGATCTTGGGGGATACGCCTAATTTTATTAATCACCGTGTGGGCGAAATATCCTTAAGGACAATGTCCTTGACACGCCTCAAGCTAAATCTCATTCTCCATAATTCAATTTTTCCAACAATCTTAAGGATATTTCCATATTTTTTTATTATGGAGAATCAAATTTGACGCTGATCAAGTTGTTGTTTCAATTTTGTGCATTATCGCATTATGGAGGATAAATTGCACCACAAAATTAAGGTACGTTTTTTATAGTATTTAAATGCACCTAAGCCTACAAAAATGTAGACTTTTATTGTTATCCATTTTTGAAAATCTTGAATGCTCTAAGATAGTGGGTTTAAATTTATTCTTCAATTTCAACAAATTTGAGTTTTGAATTTGGTGTGTTACAAATAAAAGCATGCTTGATTTCATCCCAGTCATATAAGTTCTTTGCTATTTCTATGAGAATGAAAGAGTGAATAATTTACTATACATGATAATCATTGATGCCAAATAGAATTTGATAAATTTTTTTGATGGAAGGGAGGATGATGATTAATGTGTTGATTTTATAAATCTTTTCCGTATTAGTTTGATAGAAATAATAGATAAGATAAAACCTTCTTATTCTTGTGACTTATTGGGTGAAGCTACGTTATTTTATTAGCTTGTTATTTATAAATTGGTGGAACTCTTTATGAGTTGTGAAAAGATTATCTCGTTAACCTGAAATTTTTAAAAATGTGGGGGTTCGTGGTGTCTAGAGTTATATATCATGTTTCTAAGAAGGAAAAACTTAGGAAAAATTGTTTGTTAAAATTATAACGAGGCATTACAAAATTGAGATTATTTGTGGAAAAAAATTTAAATATGGAGATATCAAAAGAAAATAAAGTCTTATATGTGTTAAAAGATGTTTCAAAAGGCACTTGTATAGAAGTCAAGTTTCATTTCAATTTAGATGATTTTATGCCTTACTCGAGAAATACGATGAGTTAGTATTATGTATGTGGATTTTCATTGTATTAGAAGGATACAATGATGATATTGAATCTCTGATTCAGATGAGAAAAAACTCACAATTGATTGTGTGATTACCTTTTGGTTAGGTATTATGATGTTGGAATTGTCTGGCAATGAGGTTGATTAAGCAACCTTTTGGTGAGTTAAACCGACAATAATTGTGTCGATGAATTGTGATTGTCAAGGCGCAATAATCATTGTAAGAAAATAAATCTTTCAATGGGAAGAGTAGATATATTTTCTTAAGATAAATGTCATAAAGCAATTGCTTAGAGATGAGAGTTTTTTATGCATATTATGTGTAGACAAAAGATGATTTGGCCGATCTTTTGACTTATAAGTGAAACATCGAGGGGTTGGGACTTTTGCCAATTTGAGTTATATCAACAATGATGGTAACCCAATCTATGTGATTGGAGATCCCATGAAGTAGGTTCATATGGGTAATAACAAGTCATTAGTTGATCAAATATGTACTATTAAATTATGTCTCTTCCTATGGCGTGTGTATATAGTGCAGGACTACAAGGAATGTGAGGTTGAGTAATTAAACTCTTAATCCAATAATCCATAGCCTTTTGTAGATAGTGTATTGCGCTGCAGAATACACTTGATGGATGTGCTTATATGAGTGTGGAGTGGGGCCGCTCCTATGAAATTTGTAGCAAAATTTTAGAGAACTAGGCCTGCGCATGGCCTATTAGCGCAAAACTGCGATAACAACATAAATTTTGATATGTGTGATATGATGAATAAGATCCCTAGCTTACAATAAGAGTTTTTGGTTCATAGAAGTTATTAACTTCACCAATTATTCTGTAAGTTAAATCTTATTTTATCTATATCTGGTTCAGTCTATAAGACACCAGATGAATTTCATTATACCCGAAACCCAGCAAATTATACTCTCTCTCTTTATTTATTACCTTTTGAGATATGCGGGGGATGGAAAATTAGTGGTATCTCATAAGGTTATGTCCATCATGGTTTGGAAAATCTTTTCTCTTTGAAATATTATTTACATCTACTTATTATTTAGTAAATTATTTTACATTTAATACAGTCAAACTAGTCGTTATCTAGCCATTAACTATCTGTTATCTAGCCGTTATATAAACATGGTCTTTGGAGAGTTAAAAACACTTTCTAACACAACCTTCTAAATCTTCTTCTTCCTCCTATACACTAGGTTTCTTCGTAGAATTTCCTGCTAGTTCTATTCCCAGTTTTACAACTGGAAGAAGTTGTTGAATCTTAGGGGATGCACCTAATTTTATTCATCACCGTGTGGGCGAAATATCCTTAAGGACAGTGTCCTTAACACGCCTCAAGCTAAATCTCATTCTCCATAATTTAATTTTTCCAACAGATACTTGAAGTTTCAGTTTCTTTTTCTGTACTCATTCTTGGTCTGTAACACTTTTGGCTTTGAAGCCTGTTGATTAGGTTGTTGATCTTAAAAGTCAATGAAAATGCAGTTTGGTGTCCTGGTTATGTGAAGATTTCATGAACCAGTCATGAGCTGCATGTTTGTTATCATAATTCTTACCGAGCTTATTAGGGTTCTATCTGATATGCTAATTCTTATATAGGAATATGTTGTGGAGGACGTAGGCGAGGTGGCGCGTAATGATTGGTCACCGCCGCCATTGCCACAGGAGCATGTTCAGCAGCTGGAATCACTTGGACTTCTATAAACTTGAAGAAGTTGACAGAGGAAACAACAGATGGATTGCACTCCATATTAACTCAAGTTTATGGATCTCCAAGGGACAATGCTTATTTACCAAGACAAAAATTTATTTGAACTCAATATTTTTCACTTATGTGCATATTTTATAAATGATCACATGTAATTGTTGAAGAAACTGATCATTAATAAATTAAATGAAGCAACATGATGCATCTCAACTATGGGTTGCTTCAAGTAAGTAAGAAAACTCTCTCATAATTCCTTTTGACTTAAAAGTTTTGAGGTGCGCTAACGTTAACCTAATGGTTGCAAATGGGTGGGTTGAGTAGATTTGGGTGGGTTGAAAATGGGTTGGTCTAAATTCGTTCATATTTCATGCGGGTCAAAAACGGGTTAGGTGTTATGGGCGGGTTGAATATGGGTTAACCCATATTATATTAGTGTAATACTTTAACAAGTCCAATTTATAATTTTTCTTTTGCTCTTAGTGACATAAGCTTAACCAGAATAATATATACTCTTCATTATTAAATTTATTCAAATTTGACTATTATATTATAAACTTAAGTTACTCTTCCCATAAAATATGCAACAGTTTTTATTTTAGGAAGAAAATGTGCTTAATCCACTTTGTTGTATAATAATAATAATAATAATAATAATAATAATAATAATAGTAATAATAATAATAATAATAATAATAATAACAACAACATAAATTCTTAATGTACTCTTGAATATATAAAAATCTGCTTCTGCTCCTTAAACTATTTTTGGTATTTAAGTATGCACCTAGAAAGAACAAGATATTTTCTGAAAAAACACTAAACAATACTTACAATGTTTAAAAGAAAAAAAAGGAAAAATTTACTCACATAGTCAACTACATTGAGAAGAAACATACGAAGGAAGATAGAGTTGGATTACCCATTTTCGGTTTCAAAAATGATATCAGATATTTGAGTAAGCAAAAGTTGGAAAATAATCCATTAGGCAAACTTATATTTTACCCACATTATACCCATGAATACCTATATTTCTACGGGTTGAATATAGGTTAAAGCCCAAATTTTACACAATTTAAATATTACTTATCCAATCCACAAAAATAGGGAGAAATTCAAAAATAGCCAGATTTACAAGTGATCATTCAAAAATAACCACAGTTTTAAAAGTAATCGAAATTTAGCCACTTTTCATGTAAAGATAAATTTGAACGAAAACACTGTTCAAAATCCGAAAAATACTACAGTATAATATACTAGAATTCCAGTATAATATACACTTAATGGAGGTCTGAATCTTAATCATTCAGATCTCGGACATTAAGTGCATTTGTTTTAAAGTCTGAATCTTGATTATTCAAATCTTAATCGTTAAGTGTGTTTGTTTTGTTAACTTCACAACTACTTAATGGGTGTGAATAAGTTTGTATGATTAAGATCTATAATGGAGACTTAATTTCATTAAGATGCTATCATTCATATTCATTATTAACCGCTGCCACCGCCGCCCATTATCAACTACCACCATGCCACCCACCACCACCAACATCCTCAATCATAACCGTCACTATTGTCGACTACCACTACCCACTATTCTCACCACTCCCACCACCATCATTCTCAACGACAACCAACACTCATCCACCTCAACTACCAAAATTAACCACCCCATCACCATCAACAACCATAGCTGGCACTGCCCATCATTATAAACTACCACCAGCCGCTACTATCTTCCTTAATCACAATTACCACTACCACCCGCCCATTATTAACTATCACCACCCACAGCCACCATCCTCAATCATAATAGCTACCACTATCAATCACCACTACCTACTACCCTAAACTACCACCATCAACCAAATCTACCACCAACCATTGCTTTTAATCGGCATTCACAAGCGCTACCGTTAGCAATCACCACTAGCTACTATCATATTTTAAACAACTATATATTTTATTGATGGAATATTAGATTAATTAGTATTATTTAAATTTTATGTTTATTAGTTTTCAAATAAAGGTAAATTTTATACATTCAGATGTTAAAAATCAAACAGTCTTAATTATTTAGTATTCATATCTTAATACACACCTTAACATTCAGATGTGTATTCAGATTAAGATGTCTTAATCTTAATACATATCTTGATATTTAGATGTGTATTCAGACGTATTAATCTTCAAAAAAACAAATGAGCCGCGTGTTGGAGTTCCAGCATATTATGCTGGAAGTTCATACATAGGTGCACCGATCTCTAGTATATTATGCTGGAACTTTCCGTGTTGCAGCAAAATAATGTCTATTTTTCAATGACTTTGCAAATGATGGTTATTTTTGAATGACCAGTCCGAAAATTACTAACCCATTGTCACGACCCAAAATTCCTCCGAAGGAGTCGTGATGCCACCTAGTCTCTAAAACTAGGTAAGCCTAACATTAACAGAAATAACGACAATATTTGCTAACTTCGAACAATTCTGAAATAGAAATCTCTGAATAATTTATAATTCCAAAATGGTAGTACAAGTCATAAGCCTTTCTAGGAGTAGTTATACACAATGAATACATCATTGTTCTAGAACAAAGGAAACAATGGAAATGAATATAATAGGAGGTGACTCCGAGGCCTGCGAATGCAGCAACATGTTTACCTTGAGTCTCCACGGCAATGATTCGTACAACCACTAACGATGAAATACCTGGATCTATACAAAAATGTACAGAAGTGTAGTATGAGCACATCACAACGGTGCCCAGTAAATATCAAGACTAACCTCGGTGGAGTAGTGGCGAGGAACAGTCAAGACACCTACTGGTCTAATAAACTGAACAGGATATGACATAAAGCTAACAAGATAAAGATAACAAAGTAATGCCAATAGCAGAAAGAAATCAAACTACAACAATAGAGACGATAAGGGGAAAACACGGATGGTAACGAAAATAACCAGGTAATTACACACCAACACGGTTGGGATACATACAAGTAAAAAAATGTGATCAAATAAGGGAAAACGATGTTAACTCAACCAATCGCATCGTTTCTAATACACAAATTCCAACCATCCTGATCCTCGTAACCTCATATCAAAATCACAACTTCCAAACCTTTAACACACATGGTACCTGGTGCCCACATATTTCCATCTCACTTTGCATGACAAAATCCACGTGCTACTCAGTACATAATATTCGTAAACAATGCAAATTAAGCTATTAAAGAAGTTCTGTTTATATAACATAAAGTAAATTTTACAGTTTCTAGACCCAATAGGAAATTAACGAGAAAAAATGAAGTTATTTTTAGAAATCATTTGAATAAAGAAAATACCTTTTTTAAATAAACTAGATGAGGTTAGCCAGTGCTTGCACGGGCCCAACGTTTTACATTTTCCGACAGCAACCTCTTATTATTTAATTTCAAGCCTTAGAATTGGTTTAAGTCAAAGAAAGATGCATGCCATTCAATATGTCAAGAATTTCATTGATGCATATTTTGATATGATTGATCATTGACATACTTTCATTATATAGAAAATAAGCAAAAAATAACCCGAGGTAACAACTAAGAATAAACCTTAGAACTTGGAGTATAAGATGACTTTAGATGCCTCAAACATTCCTTTTCTTTATAAGTTATGAAAATACAAAAGTCTCATATGCCGAGATAAAAGAATTACATAATTTTAAAGCAAGCTACGTAAATTCAGAATTCTCAAACTTTAAGAGACAAAATCTGAAGAAGTCTAATTTCTAGGAAATCCAATAATGAAGCATTTTACTCTTCAATCATAGAAATCTATTAATCATCCATGCCACATGACATATACTTGAATTCAGGAAAATCCCAATGTGAAACATTGAAGAGTGACAATAGGCAAATTAGAGGCCCTTTGCTCAAACAAGAAAACAAAATGCCCACATGCAATGACAAACACTAAAATTACATTAACATTTTAACAATGTTCGAAAAATTGTGATGCTTGGGGGGAAACGGTCTTGAGTTGGTTAACATTCGATATTTGGGAGGTCTTGAGTTGTTTATCATCCAAGGCGAAAAAAATTTCTTTTTCTCAACAAACCAATCTTCTTTAGTATTGTACCAATCACTGTATGTTCATACAAAGTCATACACATATCAACAATGTATATTATTTAAGTATAAAAAAATTCAAATAATTTTAGTATATATATAAGCCTTCCTTGGATAATAGCTTACAATCCCGTGAAAAAAAAAATCAAAGACAAGAAAAGGTAAAAGTGCGAATTAGAGGCTAAAATTGTGCTACCCGTATATTTCAGAATATACCCAATAACTGAATTCCACTAAAAAGATTAATAACCCAATAAATGTTTAACATGTTCAAAATTATACAATTAGTAGACACCTCTTCAAGTTTTTAAGACAAATCTTGCGCCATAAAGCAAAGGTTTTCTAGCCAATAATCCTAAGGATATAAGCCAAAAGCATTCTACTTCGGTGAAAATCAGGAAGTAATTTAGATATAGTCCCTAAAGGTATTAAGAGCATCACTTGTTTCTCCATTTTAATACTGGTATTTGATGCTGATTCTTTGAATTAGCACTTTACCAATTCAGAATCTCCACACAATAAATGAATATCCTCAAAAGGAAAAAAAAAAGATGGAGAAGAGGGGGAAAAAAATTCCCCAGCCAGAACAATATAATTACAAATAATTTCCCACATCCTTCTTTATTTCACGACACCAATCTTGAAAAATATTACATCATTTGCGTATATCTTTTTCCTAATATCAAATATAAAGAAGAGAATGAATAAAAATTCGTACCTTTTTCGCTCTTGTAATTGTTTCATCGACAAAGCTTTAACTGGTAAATTCGTATCTTTTTCCTCCATGTATGATTCATAAGAAGAAAATTTGATACTCAAGAATAATATATCACAACACTTCAAGTTAGCATTATAAAGTCAAACAGAAATTGGAGGATATCCTAATAAATTTAGGTTAAGCTAGAATTTGATTCAGAACGCTAACATGAGGTATTATTTTTTAAAGTACCCTCACATGTATAGAAAATTTATTTCCCACTACTACACTTGTAGAAGGAAATCCAGTCTAGTTGTAGAAAAGAAGCAATACGATTCATTTCATTTTTTAAATTTCAAGAATTTTCTTAATAAGATACAAATAGTACAATGGAAGCATGAAGCTTAATTTCATGACTTATAGTTTTAACTCATGTTGTTGTCCC